GATGTTGATAATGTGGAAAGGGGTTAATTTGGATGTCAATTAAAATGCAATAAGGTTCATTTTTGTCATCTTTTGTTCAAATGAAATACATGTAACTATGGATTAAGCAATTATTGTCAATTGTTAATATTATCTGCTACAAACTGACTATAACACGTAGACACGAAGCCCATTATCGGATTAAAAGAAACATACATTTTAAACAAAAAGATAATTATGTGGGAAAATTTGAGCTATAGATGACAATTAAAAGATATAATAAGTAAAGTCCGAAAGATAATAGTCCAAACAATTGACATGCTTTTCATCCGTTTATATTGGTGTCAACTCTTCTGGTGCGCAGAATTAGAAATATGGCTGTAGAAACTTTTAAGATATTAAATAATATTGCTCCTTCATCTTTGAACAGTCTTCTAAAAATCAAATCTACAAAATACTCTTTTAGATATAGTAATATATAAGTTGTTCCCCGGGTAAAAACATCTACTTATGGTATAAAATCGTTTAAATATGCTGTAGCTACCCTGTGGAACAGTCTTCCAGACCATTTCAGGACGGAAAACAGTTTTTCTCAATTAAAGAACATGATTCAATCTTGGAATGGTTTGAAATGTCGATGTTCTGCATGCATTTGATTTATAAGTCTTCGTTATTATACTGTCAGCTCTGCAACTCATTTTTAATTAGCTTATTATTATACTGCTTTCCATATTTATTGATTAACTCAAATTTTTAGCTTAAATAAATTCCTTTTTTTACTATTTTTTTAATTTTTTTACCGCTGCTGACTTGCTGTTAGGTGACCCATAGAGGCGCCTGCCCCATGAGCTTCTGATAGTTTTTTGTAAAACAGTTCTAGTTCTATAAATTTTCTATATCAGATTGTTAGAAATCTTTGTTGCTTGGCTTTATTCTGTTGTATGTTTTATATGTGCATGATGCTTTGTTTTATTTGTTTTGTATACGTTTTTATATTTGGTAAAAAGCTCACCAGAGCTTATATTTGTATGTTTTATGCTATGCCGAATCAAAAATATAATTTATATATAATATATAATATAATTTATATATAATATACAATATAATTTATATATAATTATATATAATATAATATATAATATTTCAGATGCCTCTCCTCTTGAAATTGATTTTAACTTGCAAACTCTATACCATGTAACAGGGCACAAAATTCACTAACTTAAAAGCAAGGTAAGAACTTTATTGATAGAATGTAGATTTACCAGGGACGTTTAATCTGACGCCCCGTGTAGAGTAAGTGCAACCTCTCGGCACGATAAAGAACCCTTGCAACAACTCTCTAAAGTGTCCGTAGGTGGCCTGTTGCAAGACAAAAATGTCTCAACCTATCCAACATATACTCATATACATTGGCCAGAGGTATTTCACATTTTCCGCCGTTCATCCTGGTCTATCTACCTTGCATAACCTACCTTTTGTATAAATTGTTAATAATTGTGTCTCATTTTACCATTGGTATGTTTCAATTGCCGTTATCACAATCCCTCTCTTTTTTCCTTGATTGTGACATCACCGAGTGAGACTTATCACCGAATTTGTAATTACCATGATGAACATGACGAGTGCCACATGTGGATCAGGCTCAGATTACCCTTCTTGAGTATCTGACTTCATTCCCGGTTTATGGTGCTCTTAGCTCAGTATTAAATTTATTTGAACTGTTTGTAGTTTTTCGTTTTTTGCCATGACGTTGTCAGTTTATCTTCGACATATGAGTTTTAAATGTTCTTCTGGTATATTCAACCTCCTTTTAATTTGTTCTCGTCCTGACTCATGAAATACTTGACAGTGGACGTTGCGAAATGAATCGATCTACCAGTAACATAAAGACTTACTGTTTATGACAAAATGAGATGTTAACAGGATAAACTGCAACGAAACAGCCACATAACGACACTAAAAAATAGAAGACATCTAGAGGTGAAACATTCCGTCAAGCAATGGAGAGGTGTAAAAAGTAAAAGTGACTACTAGTATAAAAAAACATCTGTCATCAACATCGACATCCTGATAAGACAAACACATTAAGAGATAACCACTGATCGGAGAGGTTCCTGTTTAGGAACTGGTCAATGAACAGGTCATTTTTGATACAATTTATAACCTTACAGTTGTTAAAAACGTTGTATAAGATTGAATGAATTTCTGAAATAATTGTAGCATGATTAAAAATTACATTTTTGCTAGGCTATCTATCATGAGTCAGGTGATTTTATTTAACATTTAAGTCAGTGAGCATAAAATGTAAATAAGCTTTTTTACGGTTATTGCAGCCAATTAAGAATTACAAATATAAGTTATTCTGAATACATTTTACTCGTCATTAAAGTAATACCTTATGAACTTTAAAAAAGATAACAGTAAAAATAATGATAGCATCTGTGTAGAGTATGATAAACGCAAAAAAAAAAGAATACCTTTGCCTATGGACCAAAGTAGCTTTGATACAAAAATGTTAAACACGAGTAATATTTTGGTATTTGATCAATCAGGACTTAAGATTACAACGCTGAAAACTAGCTAGTGAATGGAGTAAAAGGATCAATATAGCTTCAATAACAAGTAGTGTTTTGAAATGGGTAAAATGGGAATAAGCCCCTATATTAAAGCTAATGATAGACTGTATATCTAAAGTCCACATAAAGTCAGAATGGCTTACTTGGTATCACGATATTGAAACTAAATTTATATCCAGTTTTCATGGCAGTATTTTGAGTTTGGTTATTTCCCTTGACGGCAAACTGGTTAAATTTTCTATTTGACTAACCAAAATTTAAGCGATTTGGTACGAGCAAGTCTGATTAAAGATAGCAATGAATAAAAAAAAGTTGTAACAAATAACAAATGTTCAGAAAAGTGAAGAGATTGTTTCAATGATATTTTAAACACATTCTTCATAGTTCGGATAGAGATATGCAGTAAAAATGTTCTTTGGCATATTCCTACATTTAATGAGTGACCGAAATCTTACTGTTTTTCATTTTTTTTTGTTTTTTTTTTTGTATAATTCATATGATAATGTGTGGACTGGATAAATGAATTAAGGTCCTTTTCATAATATGCACTTATTATTTATATAACTTTTGTTTGCAGATCAATTAAAATGTATCATGATGTCTCACGTCCAGTAACAAGCATGACGAGCAAGACATGTTTAATTCATTTTACTTTATACAATGAACACGCTTAAATTTGTTGATTTTATTCTGAAGTTTCCAATCTGAGAATAAGACAGTAAACGGTTCAAATGAAAATACTGTGGTCCCGCCGAAAGTAACCTTATAGGGAATTCGAACTCATTATGTCCTCATCTTAACACCCGATGATATACAACTGACTGGAACAATTGCAGAAGCATGAACAACTTTTATAGGATTATTCTAAAATTCCCCCCAAAATAATCATCTTCAATTATTATATATAAAAAGGCTGCTCTTTTTTTATTATTACCTTAGGTAACTGATGAAGAATTGAAAAGTTTGACTTTTGGAACCGCTTGTCCGTCTAAGATTTAAGTTAAAACTGAAAGCTGTCATTTTAAAAGCTCTACAATTTTGAAAATCAAAATCATACAGTGATTGGATACACAAACAAATTCAATTTCACAAATAACTTTCAAAAACAAAATGTTCATACTCAAAGTTCTAACTGAAGTTAATCTTGCTCCACCACCCTGCTCTGTTTTTGTCCGAAAAGCAGACAGTTTAGACAAGCAAAGCACACAGTTACGTCAAAGTAACCTGACGCATTGTACGATGACTGTCTAACATCAGTCCTTCAATCTAAACAAACCATATCATTATATTTGTAATATGAACTTTAAATAATTGCTACTTGGCTATGATATATAATTATAATCTGTTATAATGGTTGCATGTGAATATAGTATGGAGTTTTTACCATTAATCTGCTTTGATAGTAGCCAAATTCAGTATTGGTAGCGTAAACTGTATAACATGCGTTCATCTGCCTTAGGGAGCTACCATTTGATTTTTATTGGGGGGGGGGGGGGGGGGGCCTAGGATGAAAATTTTGTCCTGTTTTTATTTTTCACTATATTCGGTCCTGCCTTTTTTTTTTAAGTTTATCCTGACTATTTTTCACCTAAATTGTCGTCCTGACTTTTTTTTTGCAAGTGTCTCATCCTGCCTTTTTTTACTCAAAACTCCTGTCCTGCCTATTTTTTTCAAATTTCATCCTAGCCCCCCATAAAAATCAAATGGTAGCTCCCTTATATTAAACACCATTAATATATTTGATTAATACACTGTCGTCATATCAATGTTTCCATGTACTGCAATTAAAGACAAATATATTTGATAAGGATGACTCTGAGTACTACGTTTGTACCTTAGCTCTAGAGTTCACCTGCACTAAGTCGAGCTTAGGATAAAATAATAATCAATGTTTTCAATTCTGATATAATTTTGAGAATTCGGTGTTAATTACATATCTTTGATTGTTTCTATTAAGTTTGTAGATTTTACTGTCGCTAGTAAACTCAATTTGCGACAGTAAAATCTACGTTTTACGAAGGCCAAGCTTAAAATACAACACAGTTATCTCCTAAATTTACCGATTGTGTTCTAATTCCGATTATAACTTTTTTAGAGAGTGTAGCTTATAGCGTGGAGGGTGCTGCATACATAGCTGGAGACGGCCTTAACCTGTCGACGCTTCCTTTTAGAGTTTAAGTGATTCTCTCAGATTTTTTTACTTCAATTTGTTATGTTCCAACAACTATAGCCTCCAAAACATAATTAATTAATCATACCTCAGATTGAGGTGATAGAGATGATACTATTTAACCAAAAAAAATACAAAAAAAACAGATGATCATATATACAATTTTACCGATTGGTGTGTAGAGATTCATGTTTACATTTTATAATACATTTACTAAGGGTCACGTAACACAGGTATATGTGCATCGATGTTCTACCTGTGATTTTTACACATTTATAGCAAACATATTGTAAACATTGTAGTTTTATAACTTTCTTTTATTACGTCCTTATTGAAGTATGACTGTCGTAAACATGGCGGAAGCTTTCCATGGTTGTCGTCTTTATCTAAGACTGACAGACACTTTTCTCGTATATTTTCTTTTATTCCAAACATCATTTTCAAGGTAAGAAGACACACAATTTATTTGCTATAAACCACTGCTAAATCAAAAGTTATTGTTTTGAATCTTGGACAATTTCCGCACTGTCGTTTACTTGAAGAGCTCAAATGAGTCACCACATCAGTGATATTCATAACGGTAGTAACTTTTTAGGTGTGTTGATTGTGATTGTACCTTTGTTCCCCAAAAAACAAATCTCATTGTATTGTTTACATAAACGCTCAGACGTTACGCACGATATTGCGTCTCAAATGGTAACGTCATTTTTTTTACGTTTTACGGCGATTAATGATTATCATGATTATATTGGGGATATTTTTTTTTATTTCGCTTTCAATTTCTGTTTTGCACATCAATATTGATACTTCTTAATGTTTGGTTGTACTGAATATGCATGAAATATTTCCCACTGAAAGTAACGTAAGCAACAAACAATAAAATATATCGTATTTGGGTAATGCATAAGTCTACATGAAAAAGACGATATATACGGTATGATTAGTGCCAATGAGACAACTCTCTACCAGAGACCAATTGACATAAAACGTAATAAAATGCAATGTTTCCCCATTTTGATCCGAAAAGGAAGAAGATATATATTTTGATTTAATTAAAAAATGTTTGTCGGGAATTACAAGTTAAACGGGTCTTGCTTATAAAATTCACTGTACTTTCTTTAATAACGGAACAATTAGATTAAGAGATGAAACGATTGTCAGAAAAAAGGTTAATTCTATTCATCTCATATGTTTACAAGCCTTGTATGATATGGAGAGGTATATAGCCACGCTTCAGGTCCAATTTTATTTTTACTTTCAAGTTCTATACATATGAATCTTATTGCAGAGAAATAAAAAAAAAAAATCGCAGTTTTACGCTCCCCAAATTTGAAAATTTGAAAAAGATTATTTTTTATCCTCTCGTAATACACAATTTTTTCACAACTAAAGAACCTCATCTAAACGAACAACCCCAGCCATCGGATTTTGTTTTATACTTTGTGGTCTTTTTGATAGTATCTGACTATCAAGAAAATTCTATTTGAGGAAATATATAGATGATCCACCATAAATAGCGTCCCGAATTTACAACGTTCAAAACGTATGAAAATCGTCCAGTGGACAAACTTGCAAGACATTTCATTTCTTTGAAAACGAAGTCGTTTTGACTACGCAAGTTATCAAAAAGTATGTAGCTGTTTCGTAGAGTTAAAGTACAATTACGGAAAAGCACTATTTAGCATACAACAAATCTCAATTTTCAATTGCAACGTCGCAAATGACAGTTTATTTGTAAAAAGCGGCGAAATCCGACATTGAACATCTTGCAAGACATTTGCCAGAAGCCGTTGCCTTTTTATATGTGGTGTGAGTGCTTCAAAAATTCGATTTTGATATGGTCTATATATGTACTTTTGTGAGCATAATTTACACAAACGAAATTTCATATAATCTTACATTTTGAAACCTATAAATTTTGATAACTTAAGATTTTCCTAAATCTGACCATAATGGACACTTTTTGTTTTTGCCAAAAAAAATAACGTTGGTTGTTACAGGGAACGCATATTCAGTAATATTGTAATACTTTATATATAAAGCATATCATTCATTCGAATTTTCGCGGATATACATGTAACACTGTTTTGAAGAACACAAACACCCCTGCTAAAGTTATTATGCGTATAGTCTGTTACGTCTGACACGCATATTTTGGACGTTTTGTCAATATGTTGTCCTTATTTTAGACTATTGTAAAATATGATAAAACAGTTTGTAGTTTTTTTTCGGAATAGTTTTTACTAGTCTAGACTATTGATAAAAAATTTATATAATTTCACTGGTATGATTTTATAGAAAAGCTGTTTATTGGTGTGGACTGGTTGATTACACGGTATTGACGCAATAACGTGCGTAACGTCTCACTTTTCAGTAAATGTACACTATATAGTTTGTGTGTATTAGATTGTGTCTTTGTAGATAGCTGAATTATGAAACTAAGGTTCCAACTCATCCAGGCAAAGTTGAGCTTAGATGAATGTGGCTTTTTATTATACTAAGATCCCTTACATTCATATAACTCTTCATGTGTTTATGTACCCCCCCCCCCCCTTTCCCCCCTGCAAACGGGCCTCGGACGCACAATATTCATAAAGTGTTACTTTTGCTAAATAGTAGCATGCGCAGAGGCGGATCCAGCCATTTTAAAAAGGGGGGGGGGGGGGGGTTCCCAGCCCAGGATAAAAGGGGGGGGGTGTGTTCCAACCATATGTCCCCATTCAAATGCATTGATCGTCCAAAAAAAAAGGGGGGGGGGTTGCAACCAGATCCGCCTAATTAAGGCAAAAACAGACAAAACCCATATACCGTAAAGTAAGTTATAAAATATTCCGACATGACAGAATGTCAAAGAGAACAGTACCGAAGTCTGATTTGAGATTAAAAAAAAATCAGCAAAATATTTAAGAATTGAATGCTTCTTTTAGTAAATTCATAGGGTTGTAAAAGCGTTGACGGTGCGTACATTTTAAGAATGAAGCGCTTCCGCGCTTCATACAAAATGTACTTCGGTCAACGCTTTTAAACCCCAATGAATTTACAAAAAGAAGCATTCAATTCTTAAAATATTTTGCTGATTTTTTTTTAATCTCAAATCAGACTTCGGTACTGTTCTCTTTGACATTCTGTCATGTCGGAATATTTTATAACTTACTTTACGGTATATGGGTTTTGTCTGTTTTTGAAAACCACACAGTAGTGTGACATACGCTTACACCTACGTAATTTAGTATCTGATAGTTAAGTCTTATTTGCGATCACTTTGGGGACTGCGTTGGCACGTAAAGAAAGAAGAAAAAAGATTGTCCCGCATTTGATTAAAATCAAAATTCCTGACCTTTATTTTTCAGTGGCAATCTAAATTATTCGCAATATTATAGCATTTTAAACGCTTAATTAGCCTGTCTCTTAGCTTCTAATTTGAATTTAGATTTTTGCTGAAAAGATAGTGGTGTTCTCTATTGATATTTCTCGTTACCATGTAACTCTGAACCAATTATTATTCGATTTCGATAATTAAGGCACAAAACTATGTTGCATATGCACATGGCGAAGAAATTGGACAAAGAGGAGACACAGCAACATGAACAAAGTTGGATAACAAATTTAGATAAGTCTGGCTCAAGAAATAAACGAAGAACCCTCCCAACACACACAAACACACATGCATACGTGCATAATGTGCTAACATAATTATATATTATCAACTTGTTCAAAATTTTATGAATTCCTATATTATTGTCAATCACATTTCTTTTTTTGTCCGGGGGGTTTTGGATGGAGGGGAGGCATTAACTCTCGCTGGGCTAAATAATATAAGCAGATCGTGGTAAGTCGTGTGTTGAACTCCGATCTTGAACAGAATTGCCAATTTTCCTACCGAAAGTCGGTGGTTCTCTCTATGAACTGCGGCTTCCTCTGCAAATTAAAAGTTACCGCCATGATAAAGCATATGGCACTGATGTGGTATCAAACTCTGACAAACCAACAAACAAAACACATTTTTATGTTTTGTAATGCTAATACAGCAATCCTTCAACTTAATTATTAATCTTATATTAAATTGTTCTTGTAAAGAATTTACTTGAAATGTCTGCCAATGGATGTTAACCATACAAATAAAAATCAATCAATCCTATCTAAATATGCTTGTACTTTAAAATTTCAGATCCTCCATTTGTGAGAATAACAGTAATGATAAAAATATGTGTTCATATTTAAATGGAGTCAGTAGTACAGGCTGGACGTGCGAAACAAGGTGTTGTGATGGGTGGACTCAAAATGATGACGGTCACTGTGTCTCAAGTAAGTTCAAATTTTATTTTGTACACATTAGGGGGGGAGGGGTGGTCTTCATTTTATTTTGTAAAATTTGTGATTTCTCCTTAAGAAAAAATAACCCAAACACTATGAAAAAAAAAAGATAATAACTATTCAGTGAAATTTCTGAAGAGTAAAGCATGTAGAGAATTTCTGAATTTTGTTAATTTAAATATCGTTACTATTTTAGGTTTGCCACCAGATTACACAAGTGAGTCTTAATTCTTTTTATAGCAAGTAATATCAAATCATTTATATATCTTCGGTAAATAACTCTCGTGGATTCATTTTGTTCTTTTTAGATTTACATAATACGGAAAAGTTAATGAGGTGCTCGAAAATACTTGTTTTCTATAATAAAAAAGAAAGGATATCGGGTTATCCATGATCAATGACACACAATCAGTACATGCACAGCAAAAAACACGTTGGAAATCATGTAAAAATAAATTAAAATCAGATACCCTAATAATGATTGAGGCCAGATTTGCTGTAATATTGGCCCCGTAATTTAATAAAAAGCAGGAGACTTTTGTAAAGTTTACAGAAATTACCAATAAATTCATCGAAATTGTACAAAATGACTTTATAAGGACAATAACTCCAACAAGATGTCAATTGACAATTTTGCTAATGTTGACTTATGTGTAGATCTTTTTTTCTTGATATTTTTGCACTTTACAGTATATCTCAATCTATAAAGATGTAGTAAAGTCTTCATCAGCACCTCATTAGGAACATTTATGCCATGTTTGGTTTCATTCCATTCAGTGCTCCTCTAGAAGAAGCATTTGTATGTATTTCCCATATGGTCTTATGTTAAACTAAGTCCCCTGCTGGCGGCCATCTTGGATGATGGTTCGGCTACAATGTAACAACACTTGGTCAGCACCTCATTAGGAACATTCATGCCATGTTTGGTTTCATTCTATTCAGTGGTTCTCTAGAAGAAAACATTTGTATGTATTTCCCATAGGGTCCTATGTTAAACTAACTCCCCCTGCTGGCAGTCATCTTGGATGACATATTAGCTACAAAGTAACAGCACTTGGTCACCACCTCAAAAGAAACATTCATACCATGTTTGGTTTCAATCAATTAAGCGGTTTTCTAGAAGAAGAAGGGTCCTTTGTTAAGCTAATTCCCCCGTTGGCAGCCATCTTGGATGATGGATTTGCTACAAAGTAACAACACTTGGTCAGCACCTCATAAGGAACATTCATGCCATGTTTGGTTTCATTACATTCAGTGGTTCTTCAAAAGAAGACTTTTGTATGTATTTCACACAGGGTCCTTTGTTAAACTAAGTTCCCCGCTGGTAGCCATCTTGGATGATTGATTGGTTACAAAGTAACAACACTTGGTCAGCACCTCATAAGGAACATTCATGCCATGTTGGTTTCATTCCATTCAGTGGTTCTCTAAAAGAAGACATTTTTATGTATTGTCCATAGGGTCCCTTGTTAAACTAAGTTCCGCGCAGGCAGCCATCTTGGATGATTGATTGGCTACAAAGTAACAACAGTTGGCCAGCACCTCATTAGGAACATTCATGCCATGTTTGGTACATTCCATTCAGTGGTTCTCTAAAACAAAACATTTGTATGTATTTCCCATAGGGTCCTATGTTAAACTAAGTCCCCGCTGGCGGCCATCTTGGATGATCGATCGTCTACAAAGTTACAAAACTTGGTCAGCACCTCATAAGAAACATTCATGCCATGTTTTATTTCATTTCATTTAGTGGTTCTCTAAAAGAAGACATTTGTATGTATTTCCCATAGGGTCCTATGTCAAACTAAGTCACTCTCTGGCGGCCATCTTGGATGATGGATCGGCTTCAAAGTAATAACACTTGGTCAGCACCTCATAAGGAACATTCATGCCATGTTTGGTTTAATTCCATTCAGTGGTTCTCTTAAAGAAGACATGTGTATGTATTGTCTATATGGTCCTATGTTAACGAAGTCCCCCGCTGGCGGCCATCTTGGATGATGGATCAGCTACAAAGTATCAAAACTTGTCAGCACCTCATAAGGAACATTCATTCCGTGTTTGATTTCATTCCATTCAGTGGTTCTCTAGAAGAAGTTCAAAATGTAAAAAGTTAACGTAGACGACGACTACGGACGACGGACGCCAAGTGATGAGAAAAGTTCAAAACTAATGAAGAAAAATTAGATAAAGAAATTACGGTATATTTTGGTTGGAATCCTTTTGGTTGATTTACACAGTCTAGCAACATGCAATACTGAACAAGTAGTTTACTGTTTTTCTTTCTTGAAAAAAGATTTGAAATATTCAAACGTAAAAGACTTCGTCATGCCAAAATAATTGTTTAACTATGCTTCATCATTGTTCAAAGTGTAGTTTTTAAAATTCCTTCTTTTTCAATAGAACCTACGATGATAGGCTGTCCAAGACCCGGAGAACACATACCAGTATATATCGGCACAACACGTAATGTCGGATTTTTATCAAGAAAACACTTCCATGCCCAAGACTGGAGAGGACATCCCCTTTATGTAGGCTTATCGAAGGACGAATTTCAGCATTGCCGATGTTCCAGACCCTATGAAAATGTAACCGCTACCAGTGAAAAGGACGCTTATGGAAATAGAACGTATTGTCGCTTCTCAGTTGTGATAAAAGGTTTGGCTTATATGTTTTTAGTTTTTAAAGTTGAGAATTAAAAACGTGTTATCATCTGTATATTGCAAGTTTGTTTGAAATTTATAGTTCATTCATGAATGCAAAAATACGATACATTATGAGAGAATAAAACGCCTTACAACATGTTCCAGAATGAAGTTTCCAAGAGTTGAAGAATTATAGGTTTTGAGATTCGCTGCTTATCTGTTAAATGATTAGTGTGCACCTTCCAATCTTTTTATCTTTAAAGTAAATTAATCATTTATAGTTTAAAAAGGCAAAACTGAATTAATTTTGTTTACTAATTTCTACTTTACTTACATGACCAAATGTCATAATCTTCAGAAATTGGCAACAAAATAAAAGAGAAAAATATAGCTTTAGAATAATAAAACAAATATAAAGAAGATAATATAAGCACAACAAGGAAACACGTCGAAGAAAGACGACGACACCAGGGTCATAAGAAAGCAAGATAAAACAAAATATCAATAGTTAACAATACACCACATACTAGATAATCAAAGATTGGGCAAAATAAACCCTATCGAAAACTGGATATGAAGACATTTCCATTCTCAATTTTAGGTTCTACGTATGGGCAGGCAGTTCCTGCTTGAATAACGAGATTGCACTAGAATGAGATAACGCTTTATGTTTTGAGATAAAATCAATATAGGGTTGTGTAACTATAAATGAAACAGCTTTTTAATCAGATGATATGTCAATACTATAAACGTTTGTTTGAAAAGATTGTACATAAATACACAGTGAATAAATCTCCATTTTGTAGTTGTATTCTACTCTAAATATGTATGCATATAGAACAGTCTTATAGTATATATATTCCTCCAGACATGCTAAAACCATTGAATTGTTTTATCTTTGAATATAGATATCTACCCACCAGTGTATGAGAATTGTCCTAAAGACCAAATGGTTTCATTTAGAGAAAATGTAACATGGATGGAACCAACGGTGACGGACAATGTGGGTGTTTTGCGTGAAAATACCCCGAATCTGTTCAACAATACGAAATTATCCCCTGGATTGCACTGTATGATTTATAATGCTACGGACTACTCCAGAAATACCGGGACCTGTATGTTTACAGTGACTGTATTACAAGAGTCTGGTATGTATTGATCATAAACTCATAATTTAATACGAAAAAAAAAGAGTTGAGGGGTAAAATTTAACAAGACATCAACTAAACAACAAAAAATGGGACGACCGACTTTGCACTTTATTCATTTTATGCATGACCTTTTTACAGCCTCTCGAAATTTAACTAAATGTCCTTTTATTACAGCTAACTACGTTTTATGTCGAGGTTGCTTCTCGGCTACATCTCATCTCAAGGCTATTGGCCTTTGATGAGATTGTAGCCTAGAAACACCCTCTCGTTTATAAAACAATCTATAATCTACAAACATGTTAATATATGCATAGGACTAAAACAGAGGAGAAAACTTTAATCTTATTGAAATGTTCTATTTTCAAGGACTGTAAATCTGTCAAAAGAAATGACTTGGAAAACTATTCATATATGATGTGTAACTTCTCATTACACAAAGTTAAACAAAATTACATATTTTTTCACAAATAAATCCATACAAAACTACAATGTTTTATCTTCATGTTCTATTTAAAGTAATGGCAGCCATGATGATTGATCAACTTTGTGAATTTGAACCTAAAAGTGATAATTTATGACTTTAAATTGCCATAGAACACATTTCGACAAATTATTTATTTAACAAAGTTTGACAACAGCGGAAATATTGTCGGAATGTATGAAATGCATATGTTGTGCTGCTGCTAATTTCTTATACTTTATCAAAACTTAAAAAGTAACAGGGCAGTTATACATTCAAAAATATTTGAAGTTCCCCTTCTATGTCATTTTTAAATGCAAATTCCAAGTATGAAGTAAACAAATACAGATCACCAAGTACTATACGATATGTGTATTTGTTTAAAAAAACAAGTTTTCTGCTATACATCTGACCACCCAATGTTTTGGGGATTTTTTAATTATTTTTTTTTTTAAATAATATAAAGAAGGGAATTTTTTTCTTGTCAACATTTTTGTCGCTAACTGGACCATATAATTTATAATCATACATGAAAAGTATAATAGGAAACACTAAAAATATTGGACAACACAACAGACCACGCCAACCGCCAACAACTGACTCCTCCTAATATGTTATGTATCATGCATATGCAATGTAATAACATTGATTGGTTTTTGGTTGCTTAACGTCCAGTAGCAAATATTTCATGCATGCTCAGGACGCGAACAAATAAGCGATTAATATCATTCGGTACAATAGGTAGTTCATGTGATGGAGGGCGTCAAGGATGAAGGTCGGGGAAATTTTGACTGCCACTGGAAAATGAGGGTATATTGGATAGGGAAAGAAATTTTAACTTGCAACAGATTACCTACGGATCACCAAAAGTTGTTGCAAGTGTTGTTAACGTGCAGAGAGCATGGCACTTCCTTTACACGAGACACCGGATTTAACGTCCAATTATTACCGGACGTGGCTGCGTACTTACACATCCCGCACAGCCAAACAGACGCCCTACTTTGGCAAGGGTTTTACTGCCGATCGGAAGAAAACCAAAGTGACCCTATTTCTATTCCCTGTTGTTCTTGGGGTGTAATGTAATTACAAAGACTATGAATATGAATAGAGTTTCAAACTTTCTGCTATATATTTAAAATTTGATATTTCAGAAATCGTATCTTGCTACGGAGGAGTAAATTCATCCATAACTATAAGTAAGTAATAAGAATACTGAAATATTATAGAAATTTCACAAATATTATAATCAATATATTGATATAAAAATAAGGAGATGTGGAATTTATATTGAGAACATGAATGAATTCTTATTTTTGTATTATCTATATCAATTTGTACAAGACAGACATAGTATTGAGTATTTGACCGTATGGTCTTTATTCGCAGTACACATCGCAGGCGGTGTTGCTGTTGAAGTTTGACAAATTTCAGTTTTAATCCCACTGAAGGGATGATTGAGATGAATTTCTGATTTCGAAATGCCGTTTTAATATTGTTTGACTGAATTTAAGACGAAAAACTATATAAGATTATATTAAGAGTATATGGCATGCTACTGGCTTTGGACAGGTACATCACGATATTAGCGGAGTTAAACACAATTATGAGGTATAACTTTCCTAACAATGGACAGTGGTGTAACAGTACAACTATAGAACGAACTGTAAAATCATTTATAAGGACGTGCAATTGGCTCTTTAGATTTACAGAAATAGTAAAACAACTTGCACAAATGATAAAAGACACAGACTTGAAAGTACAACAGAAGAGTATTCACAGTTACTGAAAGCTAGTTTAAAGCCAACTTTTAACTTATAAATATACAATAAGTGTACAAATATACCATGTCACCTCGGACAAAAATGTCAGCACACCGCCAACGAATTGTGTATGAACATCATAAGCTGTCTGAGAAAAGTATGACCTTGTGCAATCGATTGACAGAATGCACGAACAGAAGTGTTGATAGCTCAGCCTGGATAGCAATTAATGTATATATGTTTATGTTTTAACTATCGACAAATTTGTTTAATAGAAAAAAAATGCAGCAGTGATAAACACAATATTCAAAGATCTTGCTACATGTTAAGTTGATATCGTTTGTAAATAAATTTATTTAAGGGACTTTTTAGTTTACATGGATTGTATAACAATTTGCGAGCTTTATAAACTACACGACAAACTAAAAAATTGTATGAGATATCCTATTTTTGTCTCTTCCGTGACGAAAGTCGCAGAATTGCGAGACATAAGAATCATTATCCGGCTGTGGTGGAGTTAACTATTTGTATAAAGCTTTATATTTCAGAAGGTAGACGGCCTGGATGATTCATACCTTGTATGCAAATGCCTTATTTTACGAAGTTTCCTTCTGTTATATGTCCATTTTTCTTAACCTAGTTTTCGTGGTTCAGCAACTGCTTGAAAAAATGTTGTTTGTTATGTCGTGTGAAATATTCACTTATTATGAGTAATAAGATAACTATATTTGATTTATGGGATCCATGCAAGGTCTTCATGTCCATCCGAAATGGTTTATCTGACCTCGACCTCATTTCATGGATCAGTGATCGATGTCAAGTTTTTGTAACCAAGTCCGCATCTCAGATACTATAAGCAATAGGTCAACAATATTTGTTGAATAGAATGATTGTAAGGTTTACATGTCAGACTGGTAGGTTTCATCTGACCTTGACCTCATTTACATGGTTCATTAATCAATGTTAATATTTTGTGGTTTGGTCCTTTTCTCAAAAACTATAAGCAAGTGGGCCACTATTTGTAGTGAATGGAATGATTGTAAAGTATTCGTGTCTTTCTGGCAGGTTTCATCTGCCCTTGACCTCATTTCATGGTTTATTGGTCAATGATATGTTTTCATTGTTTTGTCTGTTTATTTGACACTTTAAGCAATAAGTCAGCTATGTTTGGTGAATGAAATATGTGGAATGATTGTAAGGTGTACATGACCTCAATTTCATGGTTCATTAGTCACCTTAAGTTTTCATGGTTATGTCTGTTTCTCAGATATAATAAGCAATAGGTCAACAATATTTGATGTAAGGATTGATTTTTGGTGTACTTGTCTGTCTGCCAGGTTTTCAATTGACCTTGACCTGGTTTTTATGGTTCATTGTTCAATGTTCAATTTTAGTAATTTGGCATGTTTCTCACATACTATAAGCAATATGCTAACGATAGTTGGTGAATGGTATGATTGTTAGGTGTACATGTCTGCCTGATAGGGTTTACCTGACCTTGACCTCATTTACATGGATAAATGATAATGTTAATTGTATAATGATACGTGTAGCTAAACCTTCGTATTACAGACTTTCAATCAACATAAATTCAATTATGATACTAGTAAGTGAAGCAGGCGAGACATTTCAGTGTGTGTAGTCTTGTTAATAAGATTTCAGTAGGTACAGTCAATTTATGTTTGTTTAATGCTTAAATAATCGAAAGTCTTACGTGCATAATTAAATTGTATGGATTATAATGAATTATCCAAATTTATTTGTAGGTGGAACAATCCTCGGAGCTTTGGTTATAATACTGATCGTAATGACAGTAGTTTTGATTCCTCTTTGCAAAAGACGACGACGACGAAATCAACTGCAACGCCAATCGAGGAGTGCAAGCAACTCCAGCGAGGTCCACCTTTTTACTGTTTACAACAATGATCCTCCACCATATGACGTTGTTGTTTCAAATAAACTACCAGACTATAGTCCACCCACTGAGCCACCATCCTATGATAGTTTACATTCCGAAAACGCTATGAATGCTCAGAGAGAAGACAACGGATTTGTTTTCTCAAACAATGAAGTTTGTGCAAACGACGCAGCAATCAGTGGCGATTCCTTCAATGCATTTTCAGTAACATCATTGCAACAAAATAACGACAGCAAGCCAAATGACACTAGGCATAACGCTAATTCACATTATATTCAAAATAACAAACAGACTAACACCGAGAGTACAGAGACACTTGTCTAAACGTGGGGTTAAGATCATCACAATCAGTATATAGAAATCACGAGAACATTAATCCTATTCGTTACATCTGTACCTTTTGAAGCTTTACGATAGACACGATTTGTTATGAAGGTTTTGCAAAATGCTTTTGTATATGTCAATTTGATAATAGTGTCCTATATTTTACCCCCCTGCAAACTGTTTTTGTATATATCAATTTGATAATAGTGTCCTATATTTTACCCCCCTGCAAACTGTTTTTGTATATGTCAATTTGATAATAGTGTCATATATTTTACCACCCTGCAAACTGTTTTTGTATATGTCAATTTGATAATAGTGTCCTATATTTTACCCCCCTGCAAACTGTTTTTGTATATATCAATTTGATAATAGTGTCCTATATTTTACCACCCTGCAAACTGTTTTTGTATATATCAATTTGATAATAGTGTCCTATATTTTACCACCCTGCAAAATGTTTTTGTATATGTCAATTTGATAATAGTGTCTAATATTTAACCAACCTCCTTTTTCAAATAATCTTTGTAAAAAAAGTATGTTACCTATTGGGCATTATGATCTGTTTAATCTTTGTATCGTTGCTTTTTCATTAACGTATATCCCATATCTGCTTTTATCAAAATATCTTTTGTTGAAATAGCCGCATGTATGTATATCCATTTGTCTGTCCTAACCTATACCACTAAGCGTTCCTGAAAATTAATTTTATTTAGTACGATACGTTTAACTTTCAATTGCAACTAGCTAATATTCGTATTCCCAGTGTTTACCAGGAGACGGTAGCTACTGATGGAGCAGGAATATCTAACCCTTCCTTAACACCAGGGTTCACCTCTAGGTTTTTCAAGGGATTCGTATTGCCTTTGCTTTTTTGTGTTATATTATAGGTTGTTTCATTTTTTCATGTGCGTGTTGTTTCTCTTGATTACCCTGCTGTATGAAATCTACCCTGAAGTATTGCCAACGTCATAAAGAGTAATAGATAGCCTTATTTCATATCAGCGAAAATTCTTGGATTTAAGGATGTTTGCTACTCTGTTTATAATTATCAAGCTTTTTAAAAGACTGTTATAAATTGGTAGTATATAAATAAAGAAACTAAAAAAGCAGAAAAAAACGAAGGGTCCATGTGCTTGTTTTCGAGATATAAGCCATTGAAAATTTGCGGGAAATAATTCTCTCTAGATTTTTCATACTTTTAACATTGGCATCTTTTTCTTTAAAAAAACGATGAAAAAATAATAAGGATTTTATAAGACTTTCAAAGATAACATTCTAAACTATATGTAATCAAATTATAGAAAGAAAAGTAGGGGTTAGTGGGCAAAATTTTTGATGACACTATGTGGATAAAACCAGAGGATTCCGAATATCTGGCAAAAATTCAAAAACAAGAGGAGCGAACATCCTTAATAATGATTATTATTGTTTTGCTTGTTCTTATGTTTTTTTTCTATATATTAAACTGTTATCATAGAGTTCAGTGCTTTTTGCCACTCCTGTGTTAGTAGGGGTCATTAGGTTTTATTATTTGTTCGTCCGTTCGTCCGTCCCGTATCAATTTAAATTTTGGTTTCGGGTAGTTTGTAGTCGCATCAAGATAAAACTCAGTACACAATCATGGTCATTATTCTTGAAGTAGGTTTGGGCCACGTTTCACAATTCACTGCATGGATATGGAAATGTGATAGTGCATATACGGCTAATATTCTTGGTTTAAATAAGTTAACGTTATTGTTTAAGGAAGTTTTAGGTCACATCAATATAAAACTAGTACACGTGTTTATTATGAAGTACACAAAATTATATTACAATTTAGATAATTCTCTGGAAACTCCATCGCATGTTCAAGTGCCTTTCTCGGGTTATTTTTAATTCTGTATGACGTTTTCCTGCGTCGTCATAATATCTTAAAAGTAGATTAGATGTCCAATTATAAACTATCAAACTAAAGCAATTTTATTACTAAAATATTGGAAAAAAATATTTATAAACATGATAAATAAATAAAAAAGACACAACCGATCAGAAGAAGAAGTTTAAACACTATAGATGGTAAAGTATGTAATAGCTTTATGTCACATTAATACACCTGAGATCTCGCTTATCTTTACAATATTTGATTTGTTGACTAAATGCATACGAGTTCACTGATAACTAACTTTCTTTACCTTAAAGAAGAGGTTATCTTTAATATCCTGTTCCCATATTATTTGTATTCCGAATGTAAAAGATGTTGAGTATTACCTTTAAAAGAGTATTTGTCAGCTTTAATTTACTTGTATTTTAATCACGGATTTATGTAACACGTGCAGAGTAAGTTATGAATTTTTTTATTTATAATAATTTTATAATTCCTGTTTTACTGTCAGTTTGGTATTACGACACTATGCCGTCTGGTAAAAACCCATCCTCGGACTTTTAGATTTTCACTTCCTTGTTCGTTTTCCCGGGAAATCGTCAAAATTGCAATAATGCTGCAGCTCTTTATTCTAACAAATTTTCGATAATTTTCTAGTTGTTTGTATCAATGTTTGTAAAACGACCATTTAATACAATATAATCTAACAATGTAGTGGACATGTAGTAATGGAAGAAATATACAAGATGTTAGTTGTATGCTTAGGGAGCAACCATTTGATTCTCTTGGGTGGGACAGGGAATTGTACCTCAAGTCAATCTTTTTGTTTTACCCAGAACAGAAAATATGTTTTTTTTTTGCATGGCCAATCACAAGCACAATTATTTTTTTCAGCGTATATCAAAAACATTTTTTTACTCTTTTATATTTCTATGTTGTTTTAAAACATTATGTTAACTTGAATTTATAAGTGATACTTTATTTAATACATGAGTATACCAAGCCAAGTAAGTTAGTATTTTGTTTTTTGCCTGACTATTTTAAAAAGGCCAGGAGAGCTTTAGCCATAATTTGTCTGTCGTCTTTGATAGATAAGGTTGACAAGCTGTCTTTATAAGTAATAATGAGGATATATAAATATTAACTGGATATATGAAAAAGAACAAATATGGGGCAATGGCACAAAGGCGTTACCAAATCACCAAAATGTCATGCACAAAAAGACATCCAGAGCTTACCGCACTGTCTTCAATTGAGCAGGAACTGCCCACCAACAGGCAGGTAGCCCTGGATGGCCCCAAACACAATAAGAGCAATCAAATCCAAGGACACAGCAAAATGTCAAAATATCTAATTAAAACTAAAAGTTCAACACGACACATCAATAACAAGCACATAGTTTAACTCTAATATAAATATGATCTAAGGGACTGGTCATTTTCTTTCATTAAGGGAACCTGGGAGGAATCATTGGAATTTCTCATATAATCGTCAAGCCCCACCTTTAGAAAATAAAATAAATTCCAAAGACATGAAAATTTCAACCCCCAACATTATAAATAACACATGGCTGAGAGGGTGATAAAGCAGATTGTTACCCTGAGAAAACATTGTCAATCGAGGCGAAGCCAAGGTTTACAATGTATTTTCGTGGGGTAACAATCTGCTCTATGACCCTCTCAGCTTTGTGCTATTAAATTTTCTATACTTAATGTTCTATTAAATTTCAAATTCAAAGTAATAAACTATGACGTGAATGGTAATGGAGTATTTGCCATGGGATAGAGTAAATTATCTCACTCGTATTAACCAATCAAAATCTTGCATTTTGACATGAAGTATAATAATTATCTATACTTTTATTCTTTATAACAAAAATACATGCATTTACAATTTCTATTTATATTATTATTGATGAATAAAATGTTGCATCAGTAGTGAATCTAGAGCAATTCAAGTGGGGGAGTTGTTTCTGACTTCAGGGCACTATATTTCAATAAGCCTACACTATGGTCTCATTGACATTTACCACACCTTCATTCTATTTCAACATCCTTTATCAAAGAAATTAGTTATTAACTTCAGATAAAAATACTTTCCTGGACGAACATGTTCAAACTTAAGATTTGAATCTTAACAATTTAGCGGAGCGGAGCGAGGCTAAAAGAAATTTGATGTCTTTCGTGTCAAAACAAATGGTTGCTCCCTTAGCCTAGTATTTATATAAGCATGTGAATTTTTAAAACTCAACATATATTCCATTGTATTTTGTCGTTGACTGTTGACCTAAAGTGTTTCTTTTTAAATTTATATTAATATCAATTTTGACACTCAAGTGCAAAATTGTCAACAACAAAAAATGAAGATGTTGGTCTTGCAAAGTTTCATTTAGACTTATATAGGATATAAAATAGGAAATTCAATATTTACAAAATGTAAACAGAAAGAAAACTTAAGTGCCATAAACTACAAATATAGAAATAAAATATTACTTTTAAAATTTACGACCTATTATATTCTTGATTACTTTTCCGAACAACAATTTTCCCACAAAGAAAATAACTTTGTACCATATAATCTTTATAGTCGAAATTTGTATCATTTACTGCTAAATTTGTGTCCTCCTTGTCAATTTTCTAAATTAATACAGATATTGAATAGACAAGATAATAAATAGTTTTTGGTATTACGTAACCCACTTACTTATTAATAAGTTTTATTATTAAAACCCGGTGTTATCCAGTATTTCTAAATATGAATATTTCATCATTGAGAGTGGGTATAAATATTTATACTTCATTCGATAAATAATAATTTCGCTACTAATAAAATGTTTTCAATTTTTAAACATATTAACTGTGCTTCTATTGCTGTTCGTCATCTTGAGAGGTAGGTTGTTCAAAAGATCTTTATAAAACAAGGAGATGTGTTATGATTTCCAATGAGACAATAATCCATAGACCAAACTTGAAAGATATGAACAGCTCACCGTACGAACTTAAACAATGAGCAAAAACCATAACGTATGAAGCTTTAAAATATGACAAAGACTGTTTCCAGGTGCTAAAAATGTTCTTATTTTCAGGGATAAATGTGAATTAGATCCAAATCGTTGTCCACCATTTAACTGTGAATCCAAATGTTGTGATGGTTTTACTCTGGACGGTGACGAGGACGATGTCTGTAAGTGAAAATATACTTGTGAATAAGTCCATTCCTCTTATTTATTAAAACAGATATATAGTCAAACCTGCCATAAAGTCACCTCTATTTAGAAAAAAAAACTTTGTGTTGTCAGGTCAATCTCTTCTCTTCACCTGCTTTGTTTGGTCAATGTTCTCAGGTCTCTCAGTGTTTTTGAATTTTGTTTCCCTACTTCACATTATATAAAATAAACGTAAAGGGATGTTAGCATGAGACCAGACCAGAGACACCAATTATGTTGTGATATTTGTCTTTGTTAAATGTCAAATAAAAAAAAGCCAGGTCCAACTTTAATGTGCAATAGAGTGTTTGTTAGCGTTACCCAAAACATAAAAAAGTTAACAAAACTCTAAAACTATTAAAAGCTCATTCTATCCTGGCTTGACAAAAAATGTACAGTGTAGATGAGGCCCGACAGCTTCAGAGAGATACACCAGCTTTTAACTGACCAAATAAATCATTTTTGCTCATAACTTCTAGAAGATTGTTTAAAGATACATTTAAAGACGTTCTTTCATATAAATGCAAAAATGAAAATGATATATTTAAAGAACATGCACAGACAAATATAAAACTACATAGGCCTTATATTTAAATAAAAGGAAGCTATATGTTTGTAGGGCTAGGAAACTATTTCAAATACATGTTGTAAACGTTGAAACAATAGTTCTAAAATGAAAGTATGCCAACAATTCCAGTAAAAATGATAGTATGAGAAAAATTCCAGAAAAAATGATAAATGTATTTCTTCATCCCTGATATCAATTTTACCATGTTGAATAATGCCTGCTGTTTATGCGAGAACGAGGCATACAAAAAGCCTGATTTATTTGAATCCAGTAAGGCCTTGTAAATGCATCAGCTCATTTATGAAGAGAAAAACTGACGAAGTAAGATTTTCGAAGTATATATTCATCGATAAAGAGGGGTCAATCATCGCTTGATAAAGAGGAAAGGACATGGGAAATCGACTTGTATGAACGTTTTTTTTTTTTGTACAGCTTACATTTTATACTTCTTTTATACATTTAGAAGTAAAATTTGATTTAGGGAGGCTCGAGAGTACGAAAATTTCATTACAAATTTTATTTATTACACTACTAGTTGTTACTTTATGATATTGTACAAAAATCAACCAAAAAAATCCATTCGCTTTGGCCCCAGATGACTTTTAAAATGTTTATATCATTGAAAAAACTCCAAATTATCTCCCTTTGGTGCAAAAATGCCATTTTTTTTTTTGCATTAAAATTGAAATATCTTTTTTTTAACTCATTGGTGACCTATATTTTTTATCATTTTTTTCAAATAAGCTGTAAAACTAAACTATTGTAAAATTTAAGCGATTTCTGTAATTTAGTTCTTTTTTTTCTTTCTATATTACCTCTATTTCTCCTATTAGTTCGATCAAGAGAAAAAAAAGTACCTTAACAAAAATGCATGCTTCTTTCGAAGGCAGATTATGTGCTTAAATGAACGGTGACCCCATTTTTTTATTTTATTTTTCTAATGAATATATGATAAAGTTCATTTATAGAAAAAAATAGCGAAATCCTATGTTTAAAAAAAAATTGATTTATACCCTCGAGCCCCCTTAACATTGAACTTATAAATGGTACAATATGGCAAATGAAAAATGTTTAAACCTATCGCATTATGATTCAATTAAGCCATATTACCTTACTCAGGTGTGGTATTAACAGCAAAAAACTTTAAGGATGTACTTAGGTGAAATTAAAAAAATCTAGAATTTAAAATTGATACTATAAGTCAAAAGAGCATTAGTTAAGGAACAAAATAATCTAAAAATATTGATAGGTTATGGAGCTCCTTTTCGAGATATTTAATTTTTTTAAAATGGCGGGAAAAGGCTGACTCTGACTTTTACCTTATATTTGCATTGGTATTATTTGGGTCTCGAAAAATCTAGAATCTGCTTAAATTTTGGTAAATGACCTTTTATGAACTATTGAAGTCTAATATGAAAAGAAAAATGGGTGTTATGGGGCAAAATATTTTACCCTGTATCTTAGGAAAAAAACTAAGGAGTCCGAACATTTGACAAAAACTCCTGAAACCTCACCGAAGTACATCCTTAAATTCAACTAAAATTACTCATCATGATACATGTCGTAATGGGAGATAGCAATTGTAATGACTTCACATGCATTACAAATCAGTGGGACCATTTATTTGGGTACAAGTGATATTAGAGTGAATACAACATGACCCAGGAAACCAAAATTTGAAATTCCTGAAACACATTTTGTCCGTTGTGTATTAAAGTAAAGTAATAGAGTCTCAAGAACCCTAGGTCGAAGAACTGAGTCAATACCATTGACAAAGTTAAAAGACGAATAAGAACACAACAGTCCACAAAACACTCCACTGAAAACTAAGGATTAACCAACACGAACCCCGACAAATAACCTACGGGCCCGGTATATATATTATATATATATAGGTCAAGTAGTTTCAGCTTCACTAATGGCACCTACATATTATGATCAGCTTTGTGGGTAACATATTTTAATGTTCGGCAAGATAAGTAAGTACACATGTAATATACGGTCCACGGCCATTTTTGAAAGTATGTAGTGTCTAGCTTTAGGCGGACGAAAATAGTTAAGAAGTTTCCTCACCTGATTTTTTGTCTACAATTTTGCAAATTCGTGCATGTCCTTGTCAGAGAGTAGTTCTCGCTTAGTAGCATTTGCCGCCATTTGCGTTCAAGAAATACGTACCATCATTTTTTGATAAAACACCCACACAAAGGCCCCTATTCTTGGTAACGAATGAACAATTGTTCATTCAACTTAAAACACATAAAGTACGACGATGAAAAGTGATGTCCGGCGTAAACTACTTTATTGCCAGTAGATCTGTTATTCTTTCTGGTTGTCATTCTGAAAGCGATATTCTAATATCTAAAAGCCTAGTATTATTCAATCGGTTTAGAAAAAGTTTTGAATTATATCAATACGGACAAATGATGATTTTTTTTATATTACAGGTGTACCCAAAAACTACACAAGTGAGTATACATCAGAAGAGTATTCCTGATATTGTTTACATTTAAAAAGTTAGATAAAACCAATCAAATTTAACTTATAATAAATAAAAGGCGATATCTAAATAATCGCCAATGAGACAGGAGCATGTCGACAAAAAGGTAAGGCGATTTTGAACAGATATATCATGTTAAGGAGGGGTATTTGCGAAAAATACCAGTCGAGAGAATGTTAAATTTCGCGAGCCGTAAGGCGAGGGAAATTCATTCTCAAGACTGGTATTTTTCGCAAATACCCCTCAAGAACATGCTATATCTGTTTAATTACACCGAATGTTAACGTACAAAACGCATTGATGATCGTGACATAAAACGCATTGATGATGATCGTGACATTACAAGCGTCCAGTCGGATAGAGTATTTTTTGGCAAATACCACGGCAGAGAGGGTAAAAAAGGCATATCCTTTTTGCATATACCCCGGCGCTGTTTAAAAATGAACGATATTCATTTGATAAAAGTAAATTGGTGAAAAATACACTGGCTATCAACCAATCAAAACCCAGGATTCTTACATAAGGTGTAATTAAAAGGTCTACATACTGTCTTCAAAAACAAACAAATGATTATACATAATGTCATCTAAGTAATAAAACAAACAAAACTAAAATAAACACGAAACAAAACAAATAAAAAAAAAAAACCAAAGCAAAACAACACAACACAACACAAAAACAAAGGTAGGTTAACATTAACAAAATATATATAAATGCATGTTTACAGAATATATCTTAAGAATGATCTAACATAAGGTGTGAAACGAAAATTTCAGGAAAATGTTTTAGGCGCTCGCTGCATAATCAGGACATCATATCATATGTGGCATTATATGATTATGTTGTTATTTTAAAGCAAAGAATGGCAGAGAGAATTCCTTTATGTTAGTAACCCTAGACTGTCTCAAATTGAATGTTATACATCCCAAACAGCCTCGATATTAATAGAATAAGACCAAAAACAACAGCAATTTTCAAACTTATTTTGATTTTGCTACCGTTGGCCCTTAATGCTCTTCAACTTCGTACTTTAGTTGGTCTTTTAACTTTTTATTAGTCGAGGGTCACTTATGAGTCTTTTGTAGACTAAACGTGCCTCTAGCGAAACAAAAGAATAAACCTGGTATCTTTGATCAGTTATTATACAACCACTGGGTCGATGCCACTGCTGGTGGAAGTATTCTCCCCGAGGGTATCACTAGTCCAGTAGTCAACACTTCTGTGTTGACATGAATTGATATTGATATTGTCATATTTATGAATCAACTGTTTTCAAAACTTTGAATTGTTCGAAATATTGGAAGTTTCTACCCCCAGGAATAGATTATTTGTATTTGGCCCTGATGATCTTCAACTTCGTACTTTATTTGGCCTTTGACCTTTTTGATTCGAGCGTCACTGATGAGTCTTTTGTAGACGAAACGCGCGTCTAGCGTACAGGATTATGGTATCTTTGGTGAGCTTTTTTTGGCATACATTGTAGTGATTGCTTGTTGTTAGCTTAACGTTCAGTGGGAAATACACAAAGTATAGAAACATTTCTGTGTGCTTAATTAATTCTATTGTTGAAATGTATGTTTGTCGTATATGAAACCACCTTAAAGCTTGACGAAAACAATCCTCTCCCATAGATATTTTTTTTATACATATACTTGTGTACTAGTATGTTATTTTGAAGGCAGTTTAGGTCTTGGGTCTGGTACTGTCCGTACCCGGCTAATAAAGTTTAAAGTATTGGTATTCCGACTTTGAGCTATTATAGCCAGGAAAACTCCTGGTTATCAATACAAAAGAGAGGCGAAAGATACAATAGGGACATTCAAACTCACAAGTCACAATACAACAGTTATGTTATTCTTTATATTCTCTAAATATCAGTTTAAAAGAATATGCCAGTATATAAAATGTTCCCATGATCCAACAACCACCGTTAATTTTTACCAAAGGCCTTTGATCAATTATATCATGGAAATCGATTTTCCTACCGTCTTTAATATTATGATATTTGTAAAACTGGGTAGAGACATTAGAAGAAGGCAATATTCAAAACAGAAAGTAGTTATGGGTTTTCGGAAATTATTTTCCCCCGGACTAATCCAAACTAACCCAAACTGAATAAACTTCAGAGAGGATAACTTACCGCAGTTTGCATTCTACCTTTATGGTTCAGAACCATTATTTTGATCTGGAAGACGGAGAAGCTACACACAATACATATGTCTCCTCAGTTAGTGTCACAGTTATACATTACAACAATAAATAAATATAGTCATAGTTATCTTTCAAAATTTTAAGCACGTCAATGTTAATTTATTGTTAAGAAAATTAATAGGCCCTACATTTAATGTTTTTGCTTCATCAATGTCTTCTATACTAACCCGTATATACAATCTTGTTTCAGAACCAATGTTTCACGACTGTCCAAGGGAAGGACAAAATGTATACCTTTACGTAGGTCCTTCAATCAACATGATATTTCTGTACAAAACATTTCATGTTTCTGATTGGAAAGGAAATCAACTTAAAACAACATTGTCAAGAACTGTTTTTAGTCGATGCGAGTGTTCAGGGCCTCAGGAGGAGGAGGTTGAAGCAACAGCTACAGATGAGTTCGGAAATGAGGCTGAATGCCTGTTTACTGTATCCATTATTGGTATGCAAATAATACATGTATTATTAGTTACACCCATCATCACGTTATTTATACTTTTTGAAAAAAAAAACATTATAATTATCTTGATATTTTTGATCATATGCTATTGATTATAAAGTGCAATGCATTACAGGCAAGCAATGGTGAATGAGCTTTGTCGTAGTCATTTAAAGATTTTGCATACAGTTCGTGCATGTTGGACCTAAGCTGAAAATGAAAGAAATAATGCATTAATCATATATTTTTATTCAAATTTGATTGAATAAACTTCTTATATTATATAGGGTGTACATTTTCATGATTTTGTGAACGTCTAGATTATGTAATTCGTCAAATTCAACAATTGATATATTTTTCTTAAGAAATGTAGTTTTCTTGTCTAACAAATTTCTCTGTACCAATTTGAAATATGAAATATTAACAATCATATGGTAACCGATTGTGTATTTTTTTGTGAATACATAGTTAAGTGATACAAAATAGAAAATGTTAGGTAGCTATCCAGTTTTAAGCTAACAATTAAAACTAAAGTTACGGTTCTTGTACATTTGCATCCGGACGAAAACGTTTTCCTTTTTTGTTTCTCAAAAACAGAAAGACGAAAAAGGAAAAAAAAAACAAAAAAAAAACAAAAAAAAAAAACCACGAAGGGACACAAGTAAAAGGGAACTTTGTTTTTCGCATTTTGTTTTTTTTTCAAATTTTTCTCAAAACACAAAACGGAATAGAAACAGATATATAAATTACACGGACCTCATTACCTACTTTGATTTTATCCTTGTAAATTGACGATAAGTTCGATTTATTCTTAAGTGACCAATAGTCTTTTGCATAATACTCATTGTACGTACGTATACTAATCATATACTGTCATGTTTCGTTACTTTTTTTTTTAGAGAATTGTAAACATGTATCACAGTTTTTCGATACGAACACAATTATAAATTTAACAGTAAACCGTATTCGGGGACTAATGTTAATCTGTATTATTAATTTATATAATTGATAAATTATTATTTATCGTTCAGTGGCAAATATTACATGTAAACCGGACGAAAACATGTTGACATGATATGAATATGAACCCTGCTTTGTACTAGAACGACATAATTGAGGTTGGCCGACATTTTTTTATTTGCTAGGTAACACGGCAACGGATAAATTAGTTTGACTCCGAGTCGAGTCGATCAGTCTTTACTCCTTCCCCTCAATGATGCGTGCTTAGCGGAAAAGCAGCAAAAACCAATAGTCAAGGCTTTGGTATTACCTGGCCGGGGATCGAACATCCTGCTTAACTACACTACCGCACTACCATCGACGCGATTTTATATTTTTGAAGTTAGCATATATCTACAAATAAATACAGAATATTTATACATTGTATATGAAACAATAAAATTTAAGAATGAGAAACAAAAAGAAACGCGAAAATCAACGAGTTTTTTCTCTCTGTTTCATAGCGAGCACAAATCAAAACTGCTTTTATCCTTTAATTTTAACAAACCGTTTTTTTTTTTAATTCCAAACCGTTCTTTTTAAATGAAATCAACACATTGTCACTGAACCTAGTACACATTTTTGTTTAGGGGCCAGATGAAGCCCACCTTCGGGTGCGGGATTTTATCGCTGTGTTGAAGACCCATTGGTGGCTTTCGGCTGTTTTCTGCTCTTTGGTCGGGTTGTTGTCTCTTTGACACATTCCCCATTTCCCTTCTCAATTTTACACTAGCCTAAAGGAGGACCACGGCGAACTGCGACAATAATTCCCATGTTACTTGTCGCTCAACATAGAAGAAGGATCGATTGATTGATTGATTGATTGGTGTTTAACACCACTTTCAGCACTACTGTGCTATTTCGTGGCAGTCAGTTCTTATTGGAGGAGGAAACCGGATTTCCAGGAGAGAACCACCGACCTTCGGTAGGAAAAAAGAACTATAGTTAATTAATATTGGAGTCGAGCGCACCTATACGTACGGAATTCGAACTTACAACATCAGTGTTTTCAGGCTAATTATACAGTAGGTCGGCTATTTAGACCACTTGGCCACCGAGGCAAGAAAGATCGATACTTTACAAATAAAGCAAAGGTTTATCATTTAATACTTTTTTTTTAATTCGTTGATAATTGCAGGATAAAATTATTATATACTTCTTCATGTACTGTGCATTTATTTTCTCCATTGTTTACTTAATCATGTTTCAATAAGTGTTCAATAATTTTATGTTGAAAACAATTGCTTACAAAAATAAACAGCTGCGCCATGAGCGCATGATACGCCCGTCGTCTTGTGTGTGAATTTTTATGCAATAAGCATAAATAGTTTCTGACATACGGCGTGACATGCGAAAAACCCCCCCTTTTTTTTTTTACAAAAAACTCAATATCTCTAAAATAAAATTTTGAATCAGAACCAAAAAGTATACAGATCTTTAGATTAATATAACTAAGAAGTGTGTAAAATTTTAAGCATTAATCATAAATCGTTTTTGAGATACGGCGCGACATGTGAAAACCCCCCTTTTAAAAAAAAAAAAAAATCAATATCTCAAAAATAAAATTTTGAATCAAAACCAAAAAGTATACAGATCTTTAGATTAATATAACTAAGAAGTGTGTAAAATTTTAAGCAATAATCATAAATCGTTTTTGAGATACGGCGCGACATGTGAAAAACCCCTCCCCCTTTTTTTACAAAATACTCAATAACTCAAAAATAAAATTTTGAATCATCACCAAAAAGTATACAGATCTTAAGGTTAATATAACTAAAAAGTGTGTAAAGTTTTAAGCAATAATCATAAACTGTTTTTGAGATACGGCGCGACATGTGAAAAACCCCTCCCCCTTTTTTAACAAAATACTCAATATCTCTAAAATAAAATATTGAATCGTCACCAAAAAGTATACAGATCTTAAGATTAATATAACTAAGAAGTGTGTAAAGTTTTAAGCAATAATCATAAACTGTTTTTGATATACGGCGCGACATGTGAAAAAAAACACACACCTGTTTTAGTTACTAAGTCCCGTAACTCAAAACATTTTAATCTTATTTTCACCAAAAAGTATACAGATCGTTTGACCATCATAAGAAACAACTATGTTAAGTTTCATGAAATTTGGATAAGTCATTTTCAAGTTACGGTGCGACATGTTTACGCCGGACAGACAGACAGACGGACGGACGCCGGACATTTGTATACCATAATACGTCCCGTCAAAAATTTGACGGGCGTATAAAAACTGCTGAATTAATGTCCACTCTGCTTTTAACAGATAATATTCCACCCGTTATAAGATATTGTCCGAAACGTCAAACCATGAATGAAAACGACAACATTGTATGGACAGCTCCAACAATACGAGACAATGTGGGATTGGAAACTTTATATACACCTAACCAGTATAACAATACAAAGTTTCTACCTGGACTATACACTCTGATCTATAATGCTACTGATTATTCTGGTAATTCAGAAATCTGCAGGTTTCAAATCCGTGTTTACAGTACAGGTGAGTAAAACTGTAATTATATTTTAACATTTAAAGAACATTTATCTAATTTGAACCGACTTCATTTTCTGTCTATTAGAATATTATCTCACAATTTTGTGTTTAATAATACATAACATCTTAATTCTCTACCACTGTAAAAATGTTAGGAGACGAGGAGTTATAGGAAAAACAACGAAATATGACCCCCTCTAAACAACAACTCCACCAAAACTCAATTGCCCCGAAATAGTAAATAGTATCTTTTCCACTATTTGCACCCGTCAGTTTGCCATTGACAAGTAAACATTCTTTGAAAAGTAAGTTTCCATGGTCAGTGATCTACTATGTGTATTTCTACTAGCCGCTTTAACCATTCTGTTATCGATGATCTGAAATTGACTAAGTCGACAAAGAAAACATTTAGACAAGATTATTTGCATTGTATAAAGTTGGCTTGCAATTTAAAAAAGATAAAAAAGAATTCAGATAGCATTTTATAATTGCTGCTCATTGAAAAACAGCTTTCTATGTAAAATCATGTTGACTTTTTTTCTTCTTTTTGTCGTCTATCGTTTTGGCCATAGTATTGTCAGTTATACTTTGAAGTATGAGTTTTTAATGTCCACTTGGTACCTCCCTCCTCTTTTTTACAGACCTCGTACAGAAAGATCAAACCTAAGAATGTTAAAAAAAATGAAGATACTATCATGGTGAAGTTCGTACAAATGTAAATAAAATGAAAGACGGCATACAAAATCGTGTTGTTCATTTTTACAGTAACAATAACATAAACGGTATCAATTGTAATGCCCCAGATGCGCATTTTGACAATTATTGTCTTTTCAGTGATGGTCGAGGCCAAAATATTTGAATATCCGAAATCTAATACAAATATTGTTGAGCGGATCAAACCAAAAAGTACCGAAAGCATAGCCAGATCCGGACAAGGAAACATATCTTTGCACTAGGGAGCTATATTCCTTAATTATTCAAAGGGTCGTTACAATGAAAATTGTTTCGTGAAAAAGTATTCTCAAATTTTGCCACATAAACAAGACTTATTACCTACTATGTATATACCATTATCCTAAGAAAATAAAACTGGTGTTTTTGCTAGTCAACAAGATATAATTTCAAACAATTAATCATAAACAAAAAATCTTCCCTACATATACCAGTTGCTTACTGTTTTATATTCAACGCTTGATTCAATAGTTCGGGGCCTTTCGTTTGTTGAAATTTAATTATGCCGTCATTTCTGTCCCATTATGAAGTTTTGCTGACGTGATAGCATGAAAACGCTGTCATGTCTACTATAAAGATAAAAATCATTTTTCAAGATAATTATTGATTTTAAAGATAAGTATCGGAAGAATCAGCAGTCAGGGCCGTAACTGAAAACAATTATGTCGAAAATAACTTTAAATAATGATTTTTATTATATAAAAAACTTTGAAAATATCTCGAATAAACTTTTTAAAATAGACATCTTTTGTTTTAGATTTTTTGCCGTTACTAAATTTCTCCTGTACAAAGAATTCCCTCTACTCTAGTGGATTAACCTCCTCTCTTTCTAATTTGAAAAAAAATATTAGTCATGCACATGATCGGTAAGAAATTGTTCATTGTGTAAAAGATTACACCACTGTGTACATAAATTGCAGTTATCTTCCAATTATTTATGATATTTATAGATCACTATTTTACAGAGTTTTAAAGCAAATCATCTATTGATAAACAGACGTGTAAATTTGAATAAAGAATATGTATGAAACATAGTGAAATCTAAAATTGGTCATACATTTTCATTGTAACAGGAATCAATAATCATAAAAATCTGAATTTCAAATGTTTAACTGGTTTTAGTAATAACCAATAAAGGTTATAATATCTGTTTTTAATCAGACCCCCTGACTGCATAAGAGAAAGATTCTACTGCTAGATGTCATGCGATGCAATAATTTCTTTTCCTCAAAATTTAAAAAGTACAAAATTAATATGTACAAGCAAGTCTCACAGTTAGAAATTAAAAAATGATCTTACTGTCTTGGGTGAAGAAATGCAAGTTTACAAATGAAAAGTTGCTATTTTCAATCAACGAGGAGTAATTATACTTATTAATAAGTATAGATGAAATATGTTTTCTTACTCTTTTCCAGATTATTATGTAAAGTATAAAAAGAGTACCGATCCATCCATGGTTATAAGTAAGTGAAATAGTTTTTTTTTTTTTTTTTAACCGTTGAATTATTGATTTGCGATTTGTAATATATATTATTCATCTAATGTATTTAAATAAAAGCATTAAAATAAATGATAAAAGTTAACATGTTTTGAAAAAAAGTCTATTAATATAAGAAATGCATGTTCAACTTGCTATCTTGAGGCATATATCTTAATGAAAAGGTTTTGACGTGATGACAAACCACTGACCTTACTTGTACATCGTATATGCCAAAATACAAGTTATGATAGCATCTCGTTATGAAAAAAAATATCGCTTTCAAAACGTTTTTGTTGTTGCATTATGCCATGTTTCCTGGATGTTTTCTTCAATATAAAGATGTTTTCGCATGAATAAGTAACCGTCTATTTTGTTCTAATGTCTAGATTTGAAAGTAAAATGTTCCAATTTTTAGGCTGTTTTTCCGATAGCTGTTAAAGGTATATTCTGTAGTTTTAAGAAGTTATGATAATCCACATAATCAAGGAATAATTGTACATGTTATTGATTTCATCGCTTTAAAAAATGCTGAAGCATTTGACGGACTAGAAAAAAAAATAGTATTTTATTAACAATAGTCAATATTTATTTGGTATAGCTGGTTGTGATATTAATACCTACGTTATTTATTTTGTCGTATTTCAGGTAGTGCAATTGTAGGAGTATTATTTATTACACTGATAGTGATGGCGCTAGCAATGTACCGTCTATGTAAAAAGCGTCGACAGCTAAACAGTACAGGCGGTCGTCCTAATAGCCAAGTCACAAGGTCGGCTACGACACAAGGAGAAACACATGACAATCCTGTCTTTACAATTTATAACAATGATCCTCCGCCATATGACATTGCTACATATGATAAGCTACCAGACTACAGCCCACCTATATTTCCGCCGTCATATGAAGAAGTTCAAAGTTCAACGCAGATCAATCTTGGTGAAGATAATCTTGTATGTTCGATTACAGAAAGTTCTACTGAGGAACCGGATGAGGGATCTTCACCGTCGCAGATGATTGTAGATTATTCACAGGAGAGCAATACTGGAAAACATGTCAATACTGTTTCCAAAACGACTGAAAATAACACTTCAGTGCAACAGTCACTGCAACAGTCACTGCAAAGAGATCTGCATCCGACAGTGCATGGAAACATGCAGTTGGACCACGTGAATCTCCAGATAAACTCAAATAGCATACAAACTGATATCTGACAGTATTGAAGCTGTCGCAGTTTACTAAGAAACAAAATTTTATAAGCAGATCAAAGTTTGAATTAAACGGGCACAATGAACCTTAGTTTCATAGGTTGACTTAAATTATGCAAGAAAATGTTTAAGAATCTCATTTAATCGAACATATGTAAAACAGTCCATAAAAAGAATCTTTGACATCAATCAAATGCACCAACAGAATAAATACCAGTATACAGCAAAACTATTTCCTTTAATATGATAGTCTTATTTACTCAAAGACCGTACATATTTGTACTTGAAAGAATTCATTTTTATTTATTGTTCACTATAATTGTATTGTGTTTAATTATTCAGTATACATATTCTTAAATATTTGCATCATTTTTATCTAAATATGTACAAAATGACATATAGGGTATATGTCAAGTGGATAGCAACTGAACGATATAAAAACCAAACGAAAACTTCATATTGATTTATAATAAATGTGTGTCACTAAACATGAAGGAACTTAGAACCTTTCGGAGCTGAACTGTTGTTTGTCTCTTGTTTTTTTTTATGTTTTGTCAAGATGTTGTCTGTATTTTGTCACCTTGTTGGCTTTTATTGCCCCCTGGTTCCCTCTCCTTTATTTAGTGGGGTTATAGAAGAGAACTAGTAAATCCTGCAAAGTCGGTAGTGATAGACAAACGATGTGTACTGATATTAATTAATTATTTTTTTGATTGTACAAAATATCATTGCCGTTTAATCTAACATTTTGACATGACAATGCATAAGAGAAAATAGGGAGAAGATACAAAAATCAAAAACCTCAATTTGAAAAAAAAACAGACAATACCATAGTAAAAAAAAACCAAAAAAAAAAAAAACCCCGGCGAAAACACAAATGGCAGTCTATTAACATTAGACATCGAGCTAAAGATTGGACAACAAGAATCCCATAAAAAAACTTGGGTCAATTCGGATGCTGTGAAAGATTCGGTATACGTAGTAGGGGTCCACAATTTAGTACGCATTGGAATACCTACTGTCTGTTGAAATATTAAGCCCCCTAATTCAACAAATATATATGTTGTCGATCAAAAAGTCCAGGATTTTGATGATATCATCCTCGGTGTATTTGCTTTTGAAATCAGGGCGGGTTTTCACAAAGAAAGATTTTTCATAAAATAAAACAAAACATTTGCATCTACGATTTCTATTTTTGTAGAAAAACCTGTGTTAATGAAACTATGTAATTATTCGATACTTTATTTGAGCATTGGGATAGTGCTGTAAAGCGTATAAAAAACGTTTTGATATTACTACAAAATTGTAAAGTTGTGATTGAAGATTTTCCAGTAGATCATTAGAATTTTTTAAATCCACATCTACTAGTAATTGACATCGCTGGTTGAATATACTTCATCACAGTATTTATCACGGTCATCTTTTAGTGCAAAAAGAATGGCGGACAGAACTTGTAAAAATGTACTTATGTAAAGTAACTTGTCAAAATGTACGCTTTTATTAATCAAGTGTGAAGGATAAAAAGTAAAATAACAAAAATACCGAAAGAAAATTCAAAACGGAAAGTCCCTTATTAAATGGTAAAATCAAAAGCTCAAACACATCAAACGAACGGAAAACACCTATCATATTCCTGACTTGTTACAGGCATTTCATATTCATATCTCAAATATACCAGAAGAAAAATGTATATAGTCGATTTGTCCAGATTTTGTTTTCCATCACAAATTTTCCAAAGGTTTTAAACAAATTCAGTCAATCAAACAAGTTCCATCAACATGAAATTATGTCAGAGATATTAATAACTTAACATAGGCAATACTAATCGGCTGACTAGTGGTATGATTGACATGATAATTAATTATATTAGCTGTAAGGAGTTATATAATTGGAACGATGGAATACGAAGAAATAAATATTTCGGAAATTCAAATTAGTCGCTTTTATAACGTAAATGTTGAATACCATTTATACATCAAAATGATCGATGGACAATAATTCCAAAGTCGATTATATTTTTAAACTTATTGACCATGTTTTGAAATTTTAACCAAAATTCATTCCTAACATACAAATTCTCCGAGTGTGTTACATGAACTCTAAAATTGAGAATGGAAATGGGGAATATGTCAAAGAGACAACAACCCGACCAAAGAGCAGACGACATGATTTCGAAAATATATGCTTGCTAGCGCAAGTGTAAAAAATCTTTAATACTTCAAAAATGACTGGAAGAAAAATCTGCAAACTATTGTCCTGATTTTGTCAATTGTATTTACCTTATTTTAACGTTTTATTCAAGAATTACTTACTTACTTACTTATCCTCTTCATCCCCAGTGGGACATAAGGCCACAACAAACTGCCTCCACTTCTCTCTGTCCTAAGCCATGTACTGGGCTTGGCCCCAGGTGTAACACATTGCTTCCAATTCTGCTGTAACAGTTCTTCGCCAGGTGATTCTAGGTCTCCCTGGTTTCCTTTTTCCTGGTGGTGTCCAATATAAAGCTGTTTTAGGTGTGCGGTGTTGTTGCATTCTCAGTACATGGCCTAACCATCTAGATCTTCGTTGTTTGATTTCTGCTGTTATGCTCTTAGCATTACATTTCTCCAAAAGGCTCTTATTTGGCCAGAATATTCTGTTGATCTTTCTTAGGCAGCTAGTATGGAATGCATCTACTTTTTGAAGGTCACTAACTAAAACACGCCAAGTTTCTGAACCATACAGTAGGACAGATTTTACATTTCTGTTGTAAATTCGCAGTTTGGTCCTTAAACTGTACTGGTTGGACTTCCAGATTGTATGAAGTCTTGCAAATGTTGCACGTGCCTTAGATAGTCTTGCCTTTATATCCTTCCCTGTCCCATTATCTTTACTTATGATGCTTCCAAGGTAAGTGAAATCTTCTACACTGTCCACTGGCAGCTCATTGATTGTTATTGGTGTTGTGTTTCTATTGTTTATTGACATTACCTTGGTCTTCTTGGCATTAACATTCAGACCAGTTTGCTTTGCATAGTTGTTAATTATGTTGGTCTTCCCCTGGAGGTGTTCACTTGTTGTTGATAATATGGCAATGTCATCAGCAAAATCAAGGTCTTCTAGCTGGTTAAACATGGTCCACTGGATACCCCTTTTCTTGTCTGATGTTGTATGTCTTTGTATCCAGTCGATGGCCAATAAAAATAGGATTGGTGACATAAAACATCCCTGTCTTACACCAGATTTAACTTCAAATGAGTCTGAGATAGAGCTATCAAGGATGACACTGCATTCAAAGTTGTTATAGAAGGCTTTTATTAGCATCAAAATTTTAGGTGGAATTCCATATGATTTAACAATTTTCCAAAGAGTTTCTCTATGTATACTGACATAGGCCTTTTTGAAGTCGATGAAATTAATGAAAAGTGGTGTGTTCCATTCAATGCATTGCTCAATGATGTTCCTCAGAGTGAAAATTTGGTCAATGCACCCTCTGCCTCTTCTAAAGCCTGCTTGTTCTTCTCTAAGCTTTTCATCCACAACTTTATCAATTCTTTTTAGAAGAATTTTGCAAAATACCTTACTAGGGACAGAGAGTAATGTAATCCCTCTCCAGTTGTCACAGTTGCGTAGACTGCCTTTCTTTGGTAATTTCACAATCAAGCCTTAGCTCCAGTCTGATGGAATGTCCCCTTCTTTCCAGATGACAAGGAAAAGATTGTGGAGTACTATGGATGATGTATATATGTCTGCCCATAACATCTCTGCGTGGATGGAACTAATGCCTGGTGCCTTCCCTGTTTTCAATGATTTAATGGCATTTCTTACTTCTTCTATAGTTGGTGGTTCTGTGTTGATGTTTAAATCATCTTCTGATGGTTCAGGGTTAGCTTTGATATCAGGCTCAGGGCAGTTTAATACCTCTTTGAAATGTTGGACCCACCTTTCTGCTTGTTCCCTTTCTGTTTTCAATGATTTGCCGTTTTTGTCGTTTACATGTGCTGTCTGGGCATTTGATGTTCCACAGAGTTGTTTGCTGATTTTGTAAACTGTACTCAACTCTCCCAGAATGGCTGCCTTTTCTGCTTCTTTTGCTAGGTCCTCCAGATATTGTCTTTTATCTTTTCTAGCACTTCTTTTAACTTCTTTTAACTTCTTTGTCTTTTGCTCTGTATGTTACTTGTAGTTGATCTTGTAACCTTTTGGATTTTGCATTTACTGATTTCTGTTTTATAGTTTTTCTTTCTTCAATTTTTTGCCAGGTTTCCGATGTTAACCAATCTTTGTTCTTTTTTGTCTTGCGACCAACTGTCTTTTCTGCCGTCTTTACATAAATATCTTTGATGTTATCCCACTTCTCTTGTACACTGCCTTCTCCATCATCAGAGTTGTCTAGCACACTAAACCGATTTTTCAATTCTAAGCAAAAAGCTTTCTTGACATTTGGTGACTTCAACCTTGCTGTGTCTAGTCTCTTTCTGTTCTGGTTTTCAGTAGGTGCCTTTCTTAGTTTTAATTTGATGGTGGCTTTCAGTAGATAGTGATCACTGTTTACATCTGCACCCCTGAGTACTCGTACATCTCTTAATGATCTACGCCACTTGTTGTTCACCAATATGTGGTCAATCTGGTTTACTGTTCTTCCATCAGGTGATTTTCATGTTAGTTTATGGATGTTTTTATGTGGAAAGATGGTCCCTCCTATCACCAGTTTATTGCAAAGACAAAGATCGATAGCACGTTCACCATTCTCATTTTTCACCCCGCAACCATTCCTGCCCATGACAATTTCAGCATCAGTGATGTCTGATCCTACTTTTGCATTAAGATCTCCCATTATTACCAGCATGTCGTGTTGAGGTACTTTAGAAACGGCAGTCTGCAGCTGTTCGTAAAAATCATCCTTGGTCTCATCTTCTGTATCATTTGTTGGTGCGTAACACTGTATGATAGAAAGCTTACAGTAGTCTGAGTTAAATCTTGCTGTTACTAATCTTTCACTGATTGGTTCCCATTCTTGTAGTGTTTTTGCCTTTTCTTTGCATATAATTATTGCTACACCATTAATATGTCTGTCAGTGTGTCCAGAATGTAGGATGATGTTTCCACTATTTGTTCTAGTCTTTCCAGAGCCAGTTCAACGACATTCGCTCACACCAAGAATGTCCAACCTGTAGTGCTGCATTTCCTTGATGACCTGTGCAGTCTTTGATGTTTCATACATGGTTCGAACATTCCATGCTTCTATATGTATTTGTGCTTTAGGCCCTAGAAGACTCATATT